ACTTCAACTTTCTAGCTTTTCTGGTTTTCGAGTTAAAATCTTCCCGCAGAAACTTTCTTACGCCCTTGCGTGAGTATCACACATAACTTAGGACTGAATTTGAAACATTTGTGTTGTACTTGGACAGGGAACATTCCCTCAAAGTTTCAGCTTTCCAACTTTTCCGGTTACCGAGTTAGCAGTTTTCTCGCCAAAACCCTCACACACCCGAACTTGGGTACTCTTGGAAAGCTGAATTTGAAATTTTTAAATTGCACCATGGGCAGGGAACATCGGCCTAAAATTTCATCCTTTCAGCTCTTCTGGTTGCCGAGTTAGTAATTTTCCTGCAGAAACTTTCATATGCCCTCACATGAGTACCATGCGTAACTTGGGGCTGAATTTGAAATATTTGAATTATACTTCGATAGAGAACACTCTTCCAAAATTTCAGCTTTCTAGCTTTCCTGGTACCCGAATTAGCAATTTTCCTCCTAAAATTTTCATACGCCCTCACGTGAGTACCACGTAAAGCTAGGGGCTGAATTTGAACTCTTTAGCTAGTACATGCACAGGGAATATCCCTACAAAGTTTTAGCCCCTTAGCTCGTGTAGTTCCCGAGATCGCTTTCCCGCCAAAAAATTTGCATATTTTTTTAAAACGTCCGTACGCGGCCCCAGATGTCCAAGGGGGATGAAATTAAAACGGGAGGGTCGCGCATGGATAGGTTCGTACTCGGCACCCAGGCGTCCAAGGGGGATGAAATTAAAACGGGAGGGTCGCGCATGGTATAGGCCATAACGCAGGCGTCCAAGGGGGATGAAATTAAAACGGGAGGGTCGCGCATGGTATAGGCACATATCCCCAAAAAGATTCAGCCTTCTAGCTTTTCTGGGTCTCGAGTTGAAAGTGGGTGACAAAAAGTGCGAACACACAGACACACATACACACACAGACAGCCTCTTCCCAATATGCGTTTTTGCAATTTACATATATGCAAAAATGATCGCTAAAAGGAAACTGTACATTTGCTTTATGCAAAATTTATGGTGATTTATGCCAGTGACCGCAAAAAATAGGTGCAAAGCAACAACCATATGCAATTAGTAGCCTGAGTACATCAAGTCCGGTGCAAAAACGCACGATCGCACGGGCCCGCCTGGTGCCTTCCAGCCTGGGTTTGCATATTTGGATGAGTGCGGTCGTTCGCTGCAAAACGCATTCGTTTCTGGGTTTTCGGTAAAGTTGAATATTTCTCCCGCCACCTGGAGGAAATCCCACTTCAAAGCAGAATTAAGACCGCACTTGAAAGTAGAATATCCCAGCGAATTTCCAGCCTATCTACTTATCCGGCAAGCGAAATATTCACTTCGCTACAAATATCTTTGAAGTGTCCTAAGTCGTGGCACAAGCGCAAATCGGTATTCGTTCTAGGTATACTATTTCCTATATGGGAGGCAATCACCCTGACAAAATTTCAGCCACAGTTTTCCGACAAGTTCCCGAGTTAACATAGTACCAAGTCGCGAACTTTGACGTTATCGTACGCACTTCACAAGCATGCTCGATAGCTAAGTTTAAAATGTTTAGTTCTTATGCATAGAGAATATCTCTGCAAAGTTTCAGCTTCCTCCTGTTTCGCGAAATCGATACTGAAATCATTTCTCGCCAACGAAATTTGCATATTTTTTGGGAGGCCCGTACGCGGGATCTAGACGCGTGGGCGGGAAACTCTTGAAACGAGAGGATGACACATGGGGTAGGAACATATACCCAAAGTTTCAGCCTTCCAGCTTTCCTGGTTGCTGAGATGAAAGTCGGTGACAAAATGCGCTCGCTTCCGAACACAAACACACAGACAGCCTCTCGACAATA